TAAAAGAATACAAAAAAGTAGGAGGAAATTTTTTTGTTTGTTTCCAACAAGAAAACTTCACGTTTTTGTGTGATATTTTTGTTCTTTGTCCTTGTTTAATCATTAAGACCAATTTTACCTTTATTTTTCTTTCATATGATTTATTTGTTTTTTGAAAAATTAAATCATAAGTATTTTCTTAGAAGCTTGGTTGTTAAATTCGTTAAAATTTACTACGGCATTAGGTTTTGAAATAATAATTATTGTTGAAAATATAGTAATCATTAATTTGTGATAAAAAATTAATTATCATAATTTAATTTACAGAAATACCTAAATTACCTCATTGTATATGTTAAAATAAATAAATGGAAAAGGACTTTTATTTTTTGGTAAAAAAGAAACCAATATTATTACTAAGAAAGTTTGTTATAATTTAACTTTATAAAACATGAATTAGTTACTACTAAATTCATCTTATAGCTAATAGGATTTTTTATAATATATAACTGATTATGTCACTAAGTAGGATTAGCAATGAATTTTATTATTTAACTACATAATTTATCTATCGCTAATTTTTCTTCTCTTTGTAGATAACTTGTCTTAGAATACATGGTACCTAGACGACTACTTTGATACGAAATTAATGTAAAAGAACGAGATACATAATAACATCAAACTTTCAAGATTATCTTGGTTGTTGTCATGCTTAGATAGGCTATCCGTTACTTTTTTCGACTAAGTAGGCTCAATATTTATCATATTCAAGAGCTTATATTTTTAAAAATCTTATTTTTAGGGGCATATGTTTTTTTTTATAATTTTGTACGCATCAATAAAAGGTACACGCATCGCGCGTATCCTAGCACGAAGCCTCTTAGCGAAATGTCATTCGCCTTTTTTACCCTTTAAAAATAGATGTTATATTGATTATAATTATAATTTAATTATTCTACTAATATTTAATACTTTAAAATCAACTAAATGTTGGTCAGAAACTCCTAAATTTTAGGAATTTAAAACCAAATAAAAATTTACTTATAAATCCTTTCCTTAAATAAATTGTGTAAAGTAATTATAACTTTTTCTTATGATTATTAGACAAAATGTATATAAACGTGTTAGAAATCTACTAATAAAATTTTAGATCTAATTTTAAGTCTTCAAAAATTAAAGATTATTAATAATATGTAAACCAAACTTACAACATATTAGGTCGAGTATGAAAATATATATAAATAAGTTTAATATGATATGCTTACGTTTTGAAAATAATAGTAGTATTTTAATTTAAAGTAATAAGTACTTTAATGTACTTTGAGTTAATTATTATTTGACTAAGTTGAATACATATTGAAAATTTATACACATATTAAATTACAAATCCAATTACAATACTCGAAAAGTAAAACATAGATAAGATAAATTTATATATTGAAATTAATGAAAATAAATTAGAAACATTTAGTCATAAGTAATTTAAGGTAGTAGTTAAAACAGAAAAAATAAAACATAGACATCTTTTTTTTTGGTCAAAAAAACATAGACATTGAAATGTATAAATTGATATTCCTTATTGAAATAGCTATACAAAATCAATATCTTTTGTTAAAATAAATTTACACATTTATTTTAATTCAAAAAAAATATTTATATAAATTTTTAAAAGTTTTATACTTATTTAGATAGGTTACACGCGCAACGCGCATACCATAAGACTAGTACTATATTAAAAGCACGAAGGCCCTTAGTAAAATGTCATTCGCCCTTTTACCCTTTAAAAATAATTATCACATGGGATAAAAGTGTAATTAACTATTTTCCTAATATATAGGACTTCAAACAACAACAACAACAACGACCCAGTATATAGGACTTCAAAATGAACTAAAATTTGATTTATTAAATCTTTCCTTATTTGAAAAGTCTTATCAATATTTAAGAATTTAAAATTAATTATTTTGCCTTATAAAAAATTTCCTTATTTGAATAATAAGAAATATATACACCTTTTACCATTTTAAATAGAAAAAAATAAATTTTAAAAAAGGAAAAGAAGACTAAAGTACGTTCATAAATCATAATACACTTCATTTAATATAACTTTATCGTCTTTTATATTCTTAACTAAAACATTCCTCATCACAAATGTATTTTAGTCCAATCAGAATTCCTTTTGTCTATAATGATTAAAATAAACCTCATGATATACGTAGGATTTTGACACATAAGGTGTGATATTATTAAGTGGTTTAAGCTACAACAATGTTGATTATTAATCCCTTTCTCGGTACAAGTATTAAATTATTATTAATAGTAAAGTTTCTCTTTACGGGGAGTTATTTTATAATTATATTACTTTTTATATCAATAAGGTGCGAAAGTCAATAATAATAACGGATATGCAAATTGAAAGATCCAAAAATAAAATGTTGATCAAATATTTATCATTTGAAAATAGAATTTTGATTAGATAAAATTATACTAAAGTTAAATATTTAAAATCTGGAATAAACTCATATTAAGAATTCGAGTTAACAAAAATTAAACTATCCTTTTTACTGTTGAGAACACATGATTAATAAGTCTTTAAATTAAATATCTAGCAAAAAAACATATTCGAAAATTTTCAAATTCATTATACAAGTAAAAGAATTTTCAGGTTGACAAAATTCTTTGAGTTCATGAACTTTTTTACATAAGAAGAGCATTGACAACGAATGAAATTAAGGAATATAGCAAAATCGGTCATAAATATGACATTAAGAGTCAAATTGGTTAAAAAGAAAACACGAAGGAATGTGCATAAAATAATAAAAAACAAAACATATCCTAAATGAGTTGTGATTGTTTATTTTTCTTTCATTTTTCATCATTCCAACGAATGATTTTTATTATTTTTTAAATATTAAGTTCTTTATATAGAATATTAACTCAATATTAGTCATATTTAGACTCTCTTTCTATTTATGATTAACATTTCAAAAGTCTAGTTCATATCATTTTTTTAAACACTGAGGATATAAATTCTTTAACAAAATAAGTTAGGAAAATCAGTCAAAAATCTCATAAGGGTTCTACAGGTCGGCACAAGGCCCCAAGCATGGCAACAAGCCCAATTCACAATAATAAAATATATGTCTCAATCAAAAATGTAGTAAAATATCATTCGGGATGGACCAAGTCACAATCCCCATACCATTGAACCTCACGCTCGTCACACAACGTGCATCTCAACTTAGTATAGCACTACGTTGTGCAATTCCGGGGTTTCAAACTCTCAGGACATCATTTAAAATCATTACTCACCTCAAACTGGCTAATTCTCTAGCTCGCGACGCCTTTGCCCCTCGAATTGGCCTCCACGCGCGTCGAATCTATCCAAAATCAGAACAAATACGTCACAATATGCTAAGGGAACAAAGCCCAAGCGAAAACATTCGAAAAATATCCAAAAAACCCGAAATTAGCGAAACCCGAGCTCCGGGCCCACGTCTCGGAATTGGGTAAAATTTACATTTTCAGAATCCTCATACCCTCATAAGTCTAACCATACCAAAATTATCCAATTCCGATACCATTTGGTCCTTCAAATCATCATTTTATATTTTTTTGAAAGGTTTCACAATTTTCTTCCCAAATTCCATCCCAAATCATGAATTAAATGATGAATTCAATGATAGATTCATGTATTCTAGCCAAATTTAAGTTAAAATCACCTACCCCGATGAATTTCTTGGAAAACCTTCAAAAAATCGCCAAAATCCGAGCTCTCTAGGTCAAAATATTAAATAAAATCCAAAACCTCGTATTTATAGGTACCCCCTTAGATTTCAGCTACCGCGGCCCGCACCAAATCGACCGCGGTCCGCGCAAAAACAACTGCGGCCGCACATGCCTCCCTCTACAGTGATAGGCTTTAGTATTTTGGCCATAACCTTTTCTACGGATGTCCAAATTTCGGTTTTTTTACCTTTCTGGAAACTAGACACGAGGGGCTACAACTTTCGTTTTTAAATCACTTCAAAATTCCTTGTAGATCAAACGATATGAGCGTCCGAAGTTGGACCAGCGGGAAGGTTCTTCACTGCAGCCGCGCCCACTTTTGTGCGGTCCGCACAGCACTCACCGCGGGCGCACTCATTTTTGTGCGGACCGCGTGGGTGAGTTCCGGGGCCTGCAACCCTCCTCGACCTGGTACA